CATTCGGGGGCACCCTGGCTAAGTTCTGGAAAGTCTAGTTTACAAATCAGGCACTGTCTCCTGAGAGAGGAGAATCACTTTTGGCTTTTGCTCAAAGTGTCCGTGAGACTTTCTGGGTTCTCACACTTGTGCAAGTTACGGAATATTTGAAGACCAAGGAACAATTTGAAAGAGAACAAGTAATTAAGTATATAATGCAGTAAAACAGATACATTAAGTCCTAGTAGGCATAAAAGCTGATGCTCTTAGGAAAACCTAAGTGAAAATTATATTCATCAGCATACAACGTTTTAAGTGTTATGGACTGAATTGTGCCCTCCTACCTCAAATCACATGTTGAAATCAAAATAACCTTAAGTGGCTGTGCTTGGACATGGAGCTCTAAGGAGATAATTAAGTTAAATGAGACATTAATTGTGAGGCCAATCTACTGATATTTCTGTCCTTGTAAGCAGAAGAGCTATCAGAGCTATCTTACTGTCCCATGCTCAGAGAAAAGGCCATGTGAGGACACAGAGGGAAGGAGATTGTGTGTAAGCCAACAAGAGAGGCCTCACCAGAAACCAAATCTGGAAGGACCTTGATCTTGGAGTTCCAGCCTCCACAACTGTGAGAGAATAAATTTCTGTTAATCAGGACCCCGTCTATGGTATTTTGTTATGGCAGCCTTGCAGACTAATACAACAGGAAATAGCTGCCATTATTTCTTTCTAAATAGAATTTAGAACAGCCCACGTGTCATGAAAATAACTCTGCTTTGCCTACCAGAGAATCCATTCTCTTTGTGCAACACATGCATCCCATTGTGTTATGGCTCCACCTATCTCTCTAACCTCATTTCTTGTCCTTTCACTTCTGTCTCAATATGGAACTACCCACAGATGTTAACTTTATAACTCCATGTCTTTCCTCTCTTCTGAATTCTTTTCCGAATTCATGTACCTGGAAAATGCCCACCAACCTTCAACACCCCAGGTAAGGGTCACTCTTGCTTTGTGCAGCCTTTCCCAGCCCCTTTAGACACTCCTGGCTCTAATTACACCTGTGTTTTCAGAGCCTTCAGTATTTACATGGTAGTCTGTCCAATTATAATTTTGCTTACACAGGATGAGGTAAAACTACATTTACAGTTGTGAGTATGTGAGATACAGAGTTTAGTCTTGTATTCTTAGTTATTAATTACTGTATTATTTTCCATATGAACACTATAAACTTTTGGCCCCACCCTACATGTTTTCCTCAACAGCTGGGTAGTTTTTTTTTGTTTTGTTTTTTTGTTTTTGATTTTAATATATTTTATTGATGTTTTATAGAGAGGAAGAGAGAGGGATAGTTAGAAACATGGATGAGAGAGCATCATCGACCAGTTGTCTCTTGCACACCCCTTCCTGGGGATGTGCCCGCAACCAAGGTATATGCCCTTAACCGGAATCGAAACCGGGACCTTTCAGTCCGCAAGCCAATGCTCTATCCACTGAGCCAAACCAATTTTGGCAACAGCTGGGTAGTTTTTAATAACAAGCTTAATGACAGAATTTCCTCTCTTTATTAAGTTGTTGAGAAACTCAATGAAAGTTCTACTATATTAGAGAAAATTCTATTATATTTCTAGTTCCTCATCTGCCATTCTTTACTACCCTTTGGTCAATACACACATATATACACACAAACACACACACATTAACACCTACATTCACTGTCTATAAAATGAGGGCTTTTATGACAACTACTTATTTCCCAATGTAAATATTTTTCAAGGTGTTCAATTGTTCTGCATTGAGATGATCAATTCTTTAAAAGTTAATCTATAATTATGACTACAGAATTTATTTAATGTGATTGAAACATTCTTGTTGTAAATAAAGAGTTGTAATTTTGATGAATGAAGCTGAGAATAGTCAATACTACTCACAGAGCCCGATTCTGGCCTCCCCCCACATGGCTATAGACTTTTACTGACAACTAATCCAAAAACATATTTTGGCACATACAGATTGACAAGCATCTACCCTCACTTACAGAAACTACTTTAAAGGAAGAAATTAGTCTATGCATAGGCAAGTATATGGTTATTTAATTGCTGGGTTTTAATCTGATTCTGTTTGTACGTGTTTAAACATCAATGTGAAAGATTAAAATTTTAAAGTACAATGTTAAAATTCACAATGTTTGTACTGCTGTGAAAGTGAGTATATATATATATATATATATATATATACTATTTATCCCATGTGTATAAACTACTTATCCCAAAATTTTACTGCTTTAGTGGCAAATCTTTACTAAATAATATATAGAAAGAAAAATTAATGAAACAGCACACAAATCCCATTAACCACTGGTTCTGTTTGCTTTAACCAGCTTGGTAATCAATATAGTTCTTAAGGCATTTTACAGAGAGAGCACTGCGAATGTGCCTCCCCTGTCCCACAGCTGCCCCTGGAGCAAACACTTGACCCTTCCTGTTGGACACAAAGGATTAGGACTTGACTGGATTCTGAACACTGAAACCCTTTCAGGAGCAAAGGATCCAGGAAGATCCAGTGCTGAAGCGCCTCACCATAAATGGTCAAGTTCCAAAATCTTTCAATTAGATCTTGCCCCACCAGCGATTCCTGTTCTCTGTAACTTCTTAAAACCCTCTGATTGTTAGCCTTCAGGAGTTCAGGTTTTGAGCAATAACTTCCCATTCTCACCTGGCAATAAAAACAACTCCAATTTCTCCATTGCAATTCTAGCTGTTTAGTGTTTTACCCTGCTGTGCACCAGAAGGCCAAAAGGGAGAAACTCTTTTTATGTTTGTTACTTATGAAAACGTTATGAGGAATGATGGTAGGCCATGTTTGGTTTGTATATGAATTAGTACTTTCCTGTCAATACAATTCTATTTTGTACATTTCAGTTATTATAAGTCTACAAATAGTAGTGGCATACTAATATGAAAAAAAAAAACTTACCTTAGACATATTACAAAAGGTAATTTTCATCTTAAGGCCAATTTTCTTTTGCATTAATCAGAAGTTTTTGCATTTTCTTATTTATATTTTCAAATGTTTATGAAAGTTAAATACACTGCATGGAATACTATCTGTTATGAGACAGATCTGAGAAATTACTTAGAGAAGCAGAGCCAAGGCAATAAGATGATATCCTCTTTGAACAACTTGGGGCAGAGTTCCTAAAAGTGTGTGTGGGGGGTTCCATTTACATATTCTCTGAAACCTGCAAGTCCTCACACTTTACGTAGAAACATTGAACTCAGGCTTGATCCATTGTATCCTACCTTCAATACTAGAAGGTAGATGAAGCTCACCAAAGATAATTTTTGTTAGGTCTGCTTTCAGTTCTCCACTCATTCAGCTCCTTCATTCTCCGTTCTCTCCCCTAATCCTTTGTTTAGATCCAGGATCAGACCTAGTCATTTAATTCATACCCACTCTGGTTAACAATCCAGTTCATCTGAAGAGTCCACAGGATGAAACACTGAATCTTACTCATACTCCTCCTATTTATTTCAATGTGTTCTTCCATATCAAAGTCCCCATATTGGATCTTCCATGTTTCATGATTTTTTACATTAACCTGATCCCTTTTTCTCAGTTCAGTAAAATGATTCTATACTCAAGATAACATATTTATATGACTACTACATAATATAAAACATGGTGCAATGAGAAAAGAACACTTGAGTATGAGATAAGAAACAAAAGACTACTGCTTTGCTTCTATCTCTATAGATCTTGGTTACATCACTTGCTATCTCTATTTCTTTATCTGGAATGATAATCCAGATTCTCTACTGGTTTGCTATGATGAATGCAATAACAGGTACAAAAATGTGCTATAACTGTCATGATCCCAATATGGAATATTCTCATTAATCATTTATAAAGTCTTTGGCTGAGGCCATAGGAACTTAGGCTTATTTAAAGGCAAAACTGTCTAACTTTGAGTAATCTACATTGTACCTAAACTTTGGTCTCCGAATGCATACATTAAGATAATCCTACCTTGTAGAATTAGTTTACTCATTTCATGAAACAATATAAATAATTCTTAGTCTAATGCCTGACTCTGGTAAATGCTCAAAAACTCATAGTATTTACAAATAATGGCTGATGTTTGGAGTAGGTATTGGCATTACTATTTTTATCTAATTCAATTAGATTAATAAAAACTGTGAAATTATAATGTCTGAGAAATTTAAAATACTAAAGCAGAGCACTAATCCAAAGGATACTTATGTAAACTAATCTAAAATGTTTCTTCTCTTATTCATATATCTAATAGATGTAAAGGAAGGAAAAACACATAGGTGATGCAATGCCTCAGTTCATAGCTCCTTTTATCAACTGATAAGCAATGAACAGAGCTAAACAAAATCCTTGTAGCTACAGGGAGAGAAAGAGATTTTTCTTCTTTCTCATTGTAGCCTAGAGATTTGTGGCTGAGAAATGACTAAGTAAGTAAGCAAATAAAAGACCACTTAGAAACCACAAAGAAACATAGAAACTCTTCCCAGAGTATATTGTGTATGCTGGTTAGATGTATCAGCCTTGTTGACTTTAGCTCCATGTCCATATTTCATATGAATTAAAGTGGAGGGAAGTACCCCAGAGAATTAATACTAAAGGTGTCCCAGAAATTACTGAAAGGTGCATTCACAGTCTTCCTTCGCTTCCAACTTATCTTGGAGAAAAGGAAAGATGTTTGGCTACAGTATGTATATTCTAGCAGATGTCCATTAACATTTTCTCATGAAATTAGTTTGCTGGAGAGATTCAGACATAATGTTCCAACTTTGTAGAAATCAAAATTAATATTAGACAACTATAATTTGCCTCTTGGCCTCAATTTGCAAGTCATCATCTTGAACCAAGGTAAACAATGAGAAAAAGTAGGAAAGACGCCAGTGAACTGAAGGAGACCATTGGTTTCAAGCAAACCCCTTTACTTCTTGAAGTGCTTGGACCCACAGCACTTTTTATTTCCTTACTTACCAAGGGCTTGGTTTCATCTTCATCTTTGAAATAATATAGCTGATCTCCCTTGAGCACAAACCAGCGAGTATGCCAAGTCTTGACAAAGCCTCCTTGCTTCCGCAGCCACCCACACTTGACTGCATTATTCCGCCCTTGGCCTGGTTGGGGGTTCTCAGTGGAGTCGTTGTTCTCCTCCATGATCAAGCTGATGGACTTTCCTATTTAACAAACAAATAAAAGAAATAATAAGTTACTTGATATATTCACTCCAGAAAATCATTCCTATCTTTTAAAAATTAAAAAACAAACAAACAAACAAACAAACAAAAAAAAAAAAACAGGATGAGGAGTAAAAAATGTATAGCAACTCACTTGCCAAGTTTCTAGAAGCAAACCACAGACCTGACAACATTGTGCCTGGGGAAAACTTGGAGAGAGTTCGTTGTGTCTTCCCTAAATGAGCTAGTCAGCTGGGCAATAACATCCCTTTTTTTACTAAGTAGAACTGAAGATTGAAAAGTTATGGAGGTAATGTGTTAAGAAGTAATTTTTTAAAAAACTAAAACAACCAACAAAAACCATAAGTCTCGTGATAATGAGCCTCTGTGTCTGGTATGTACCGATGGGGGCCCGTTTGCGCAGGTCTGATTATCTGAGTAAACACTAGCATAACACATGTTAAAGTTTAAAGGGACTATTTTAAAAACCACAATGGAAGGCATTTGTTTTGCATATGTGAACATTTCTCAAGATATATCTGGCCCCTTTCCCCCAAAGTGTATCCTGTTTACAGCTTCGTTGGATGGTCAGGAATTAGTGCAGCTGAAAAAGTTTAGGGAGAAAAAAATAAAATTAAAAAAATAAAATAAAGACCCCAGCTCAGCCAGTTGAGTTTTCTTCAAATATCAGGACTACATCAATTGCATGTTGAAGAATGTTGCAAGTTTATGTGTGAAGGAGCATAGGACTGTACACACTATACATAGCAAGGAAATGAGTTTATTGTAGAGAAAAATCTTAATCAACGGGAGAAGCTAAACTGCCACCGTAAAATGGGGAGGTGGCTTTCTGGGAGAACCAAGGACAAGTGGCTAAGAGGTTTTCTGCAAATTCTTATTAATATTGCATATTTTCATGAAAAGTCCACCCATACACTTGTATCATTGATGAACATATAAAGATACAGACTAAGTAATAAAACAGAATATTCCTGTTTTGGCATATCTAGGCACAAAGCTCCTACTTTTCTGCTTGATTCCAGAAAACAAGCTGACTTTTTATCTAGTCCTTTTTTTCACCATTGATTCCCCCCCCCCATTGATTTGTATGTACACAGTCCTAATTATCAATTCCATGAAGTTCTTTTTGTCCACCCTTAGTTACTTAAGTTTCTTCTTTGAAGTTTCAGGGTCAGACCTTTCATTATTGGGCTTTAAGTTTCTGACTTTAGTCCTGCCCTCCCAATTGCAGAAATGAAGCAGAACTTTGGGTCCAATTAATCAGGTTGTGAGCATCTCAACCATCTTAGTAGTTTTGCCTCTTCCACTGGTATGCATTCCAAGCTATCTCCATCCTTGCTTTCATCTCCATCTCTATAAACCACTGTTAAGCTTCAAGTAGGCCACTTGACCACCATCTGTCTCATTCAATATTCACTTTTTCCTTTTTAAACCCAAACATCTTTCTCACTAATAAGCCCTCATCTCTATAAAACATCTTGAAACTTCCTTTGCTGCACAAGGCATTCCCAAGACAGAAACACCTCACAGCAGGAAGTATTCCTCCATCGTGTGCGTGCATGTGTGCGCAGATTGGATCATGCCCAATGCTTCAGAGTTTGTTATGCCCTCAGGGCAGGAACTTTCATCTCTTTTACGTTACTTGACCAATTATAAGGAGCCATGTAAAGCTCACTCTAAATGAACAGTGAATGCTTAACATAATTTAGATAATAAGTATGCTTATTTAGACCACTCTAACTAAGTAATTGTTTTGGTCTCCTGGTATTTAAATTGTTCAAATCTACACAAGTTGTTATTTCATCAGCACCTATTGATTCTCTGAACAAATACCTTCACTTATAAAGTTGAACTTATAAGGGCATTCCTTAAAACAAACATTCTAAAACACACACACACACACACACACACACACACACACACACACACACCTAGAATTCATGCACAACAAACTCTTTCCTTTGCCCCTTTCTTTTTTTCTTTTCTCTTAAAATTCATGTTTTCTATTAAGTTTGAAAAATCTCCTCTAAAATTCTTCAAAGTAATTAGGAACCTACCATCAATAATGTAAAAATACAACTGCCCATTTTTGTTTATACCTGCCATTAATGCCTTAGAAAAAAAATGTGTGCACATTAGAACATTGTTTATAATCCTTCTTACATAAGTTGTTTACAAGTCTGGTGAAACCAATGACAGCATCACCCACTGAACTCCTGGCTATGATGTCTCTAATTTCATAACTTCAGAATGCATCAGCAAGTATTTTAGTAGTATTAATTATAACAATTCATTAAACAGAAATGAAGACAAATTGTATCATATCTTCAAGAGAAAATAATGCCACGACTATTGCTGGATGAGTAAAACTAAGGTTTACTAAAATACTCTAATTTTTATAGAGGAGTCTTGATATTTCTTCAGAAGTAAAATGGCTCAAATTCTACCCTTCACCTATAAAATGACAATGCTGGCCTGATAATTTCTAACTATTGTGCCTTTCAGCACACTGAAATCCATCACCTCTCTAATCCCATACACTTAAGGACACTAGATATCCTCAGCACTTCATACCATGTCTGGCATATAGTGAAGCTCAATCAATGTTTGGTGAATTAATAAATATTGCAATAGGTTTTGTGCTAGATATCTAAAAGTGAACATGACCTTCTTCAAAACCTGCCCCTGCCCCATTTACTGATCTTAGTAAATGGCACCATGATACACACAATTGAAAAAAATAATCATCTTTGAGTCCTGATTCCTCATCATGAATATCAGATCCGTCAGTAAATTCAGAAATATTTTTAGATCCATCCCTCTGGGTCCATCTCCATTGCCACCTTATGATCCAAGATATAATTATCTTTGACTAAATGATTCTCATAGCCCTCCAACTGGTTTCACAGCTTCCATTTTAAACCACAAACACTAAGACATGGGCACATGCTCACACATATTTTATTCTCCACAAAGCAGTCAAAGTGAGCTTTTAAAAATTTAAATCAGGTAATGATTCTCTACCCTTAAAATCTGATGGGATCTGACTATTCTTCTTTTAAAATCTAGAGTCTTATCATGGCTTACAAATCAGGAATCATGTGGCACCTATTTATTTATTAAGTTATATTTTTATTTATTTCAGAGAGGAAGGGAGAGGGAAAAAGAGAGACAGAAACATCAATAATGAGAAAATCATTAACCGGCTGCCTCCTGCATGCCCCACATTGGGGATCAAACCCACAACTTTGGTATGTGCCCCCAATCAGAATCAAACCAGGAACCCTTCAGTCCAAAGGCTGACACTCTATCCACTGAGCCAAACGAGCTAGGGAGAGGCACCTACTTATTGATCTAACCTCATCCCATCTTCAGTACCCCCCTTCCAACACACACACACACACACACACACACACACACACATACACACACACACTCTTAAAAGCCCTGATGCAAACAACCACACTACCAATTCTGAAAACACCCAAGTCCTTTATGCCTTGATTATTGATACTTGCTGATCTCTCCCTAAGCTACTCTGCCCCATGCTCTTTGAAGGCTCACCCTTTCTCATTCTTTAAGTCTCAGCCTGAAACTACCTCCTCCCAACAAGGCTTTACTAATCACCCGGAGAGTTACTTACCCTCTTGTTATTCTCTATCACTGAACTCTGTCCTCTGTCTTCCTAACACTTCTTTAAATTGATATTTCTTTAGCTGTTTATGGCTAATCATACCTCCAGGAGATCGTTAGCTTTAGGAGGCCAAGGATTTGCTTTTCCTTACTGGAGTTTACCCAGTACTTTTAAGAGTGTTCACTTGGTGTTCAGTAAACAATGTGAACTTGGTGAATGAAGCTATGTAACAACCACAGTAGAATTCATACAAGCATATTTGGAGTCTTTACATTGCATTACATTTCTTAAAGAAGATTGTATACTTTAAGAACTGGATTTACTTTTCTCTGACATAGGGGACTTTAGCATTAAAACTGTTCCTAAACACAATGTCAAAATCTTCAAACTTAAATGAACCTGAAATAGTCCTTTATGAATAAATGTAACATTCAATATTTACATATTTTAGCCTTGTAGGAAATGCATGCAATCAATAGTGGTTAAGCATGACGAAACATAGAGTGTTCTCATTCAACTTCTAAGAGAATAATGTAACTGAATCTCCACTGGGAAAGGATTTTCGCTGTGTTGGTGCAGCTGGATGGTACCTGAGGTTACAGAATAGAACTATTAACTAAGATGTTTAGCATACCAACCTAACAATGACAATATAAAAATAACATAATTTTTTACTCTAAACTAACAAAATATAATTGAAAAGTTGTGTCTTCATACCAGTCTTAGAACAGAGCCTTCATGATGGCTACTGTGCTATATCAGGGCTTAGAAAATTACCATCCTTTGGTGGGTTCATAGCTTTGAATTATTTTCCAGGCATGGAAACTGATTTGTACATCTATGTGTATATTTGTGGTTTGTTTTTTTTTTTTTTTGCATCCAGATGGTCTAGGAACACAACAGTATTCCATGATGCAATCTGAGATGAAATTCCTGCTTCTAACAGAATTTCTTAAAAGTCCAACAGCCACACACATAGGTATTTCTATTTGTGACTTCAATAGAGAATATATAAACATGCATGTAATCAAAGATGTATAAAAATAAAATGCCATATGCCATAGAGTTGCAGTGTGTTTGGATTCATCTATGGGACTGCACATGTCTAGCAAACACAAAAGACTGACAAAGAAGGAGTGGACTAGGGAGTCGGTCAGAGAAAGACAAATACCATATGATTCCACTTAGATGTAGAATCGAAAGAACAAAAATGAAATAGACTTATAACCACAGAGTGGACTGGTGGCTGCCAGAGAGGAAGAGGGTTTGGGGACTAGGTGAAAAGGTAAAGGAGTTAAAAAGTACAAATTGCCCTGACCAGTTTG